AACTCTGAATTAGATGGTTTAGATATAATATAGCTGATACATATAATAGAAATGGTATAGTTAATAGAGCTAAGATATATAATAAAGATAATAAAAATAAAAGATATAATATAGCTATTATCATTAATACTGTAGCATTAATAGCTTTGTGCGACATGGCGCAGTTGTAAGATCAGACGCATGACTTGATGGTATTTTGGGCTTAAAAATACGTAGACACGCCATTTAGTTATATAGATTTTATATCATTCTCTAATAGTAAACTCATTTAATCCGCTATCTATCAAATAATTATAGAAATTAATATCTTATTACGTAATATATAAATTTATTTATTAATAAAAAATAAAAATAGTTACTTTGATAAAGTGATGTAGTATATTCAATAAATTTGCTTTTATAAATGTCGTCAGATGTTTGTTTATGTGTGCTCTTAAGATTTTTTAGTCTTTCATCTAATCTTTCATCTATTATTTCATCCAATATTTCATATGAATCATTTAATTCCGATAAAATATTTTCATTATTTTGCCATTCTGTAAGGATTTCACAAATTTCTATTGCCGATGGGCGATTTATCGGTTCTCTTTCCCAACATTTCTTCATTAGGCTTATATAGCATTGTGGAATATTTTCAACAACAGGTGGTCGTAAATCATTTTTGCATATTTCTATCTGAAGCTGCATTACATGCTCTTGATTATAAAAATATATTACTGATTTTCCATATAAATTTCCCACATAATTATGCTGAATGAGTATATATCCGATGCTGTTGTATATTGACCTTCGTTTAAAACTTCAGGTGCTATATATGGTAAAATTCCATAGACACCACGACGTTCTACCTTTAATGCCATGCTTGTCGACATTGGAAGTCCCAAGTCTGTAATATATGCACTGTGTAAACTATTCATTAAAATATTACCACTATGCAAATCTCGATGAATAAGTTCATGAGAATGAATTATTTGTAAATCAGAAGCAATACAATGTAATAAAGTTAATTTTCTTTCCCATTCCGTCAGGGATGCGAAGTAAAGGTTTTTACGCAAAGAACCCATTTCTGCATACTCCAAAACAAGGATATAGTCACCAGAAGAATCATCTTTTGATATTCCATAGCATCTTAAAAATGATGGATTTTTATTGCCAATATCACAAAATGCTTTTAACTTTGTATTAATAAATAAATTGTTAAATGACTTTTAAAATTTTAGATGTATTATTAAGTAAATAAATAAAATTTACCTCACTCACAAATTCTTCATTATTCGCTTTTGAATTGTGAAGTAGTTTAAGTGCAACGGGTTGAATAATACCTCTGTTATGATCGTAATAATTAGCCCATTTGGCAACATACACTGTTGCAAATCCACCCTGCCCTATCTTTGTAATATTTTCAAATTCATTATAAGCAATCCAAGACAATGGATATTTGCTTTCGGAAAATACTTTTTTTAAATCATCATCAATATCTAAATTATCATATATTCGCTTTTCTTTTGCTACATATTATTTATCGTTAGATTTAAATAATTTAACAAATAATTAATAACAGTTACCTGCTAATTGTTTCTGCTCTCTAATAATTTTTAATCAGTCATTAAAAAGAAAAACATACAATTTATAAATATAGTACAAGATAACATACATCTGGTACCTTTTGCAAATCTCTAGTTACTCCAATTCCATTTCGATAACAACGTCTAACTCTATTTATTACCGGAAGATAATTCATCTTTGCTGAATTTTGATAATTAGCAAATGCCTTACGCTCATCTATTTTAACTTCAGTTCCACTTTCATAACAACATCCAACATTATATGTTCCCACAGCGTCTCCCGTCTCTGCGGATTTTTGATAATAAATGAATGCCATATGCACATCCTTTTCAATTCCAATTCCATAATAATAACAATGCCCAAGTTTGCTTATTGCGGCTTCAGTTCCCATTTCTGCAGATTTTTGATAATAAATGAATGCCTTACGTTGAGAAGATGTGACTTAAATGTTTAACCACTAAAACTAACTAAATCAAACAGTCCAATAACTAATTCTACAATCCCAAGACCCTAAGACTTCGAATTGGCAGGCGGAAAGAGGCGTGGAGAGACTTGGTCCGAGTCTCAAAGTCTTGTTGAGTCTTGCTGCGGCGTATTTGGCGGCTAGGATAAGTATAAACCCCAATTATACCTTTAGTGGTGATTAATAGGCTTTGGTTTAGTAGCAATTATAATCCTTGTCTTTAAACTAGGGCTTGGTAACTTCCGGCTTCGATACAATCGTTAAGATTCTTAACGATTGTCACGTGAGTCACGTGGAATCTTTACTGGTGCGGTGATCGGCTGTTTAATTTGATCTGAGATTCTTACGTCACGGGTAAGAATATTCTGAAGATCGGAGGCTTAATTCGGCTCAGCGTTATACTTTTTAGGTTGAACAATACGTCACGAGGATTATAAGGGTATATTTAAGGGTTTTAGTGGCGATTCAATATTTTAGTTCTGAACTATTTTTCAAAGGTCAAGGAACTTAGAGGCAAAGTTTCTATAGGGCGGGGAACTTAGAGTTGACACTTTTACTCGGATTTCAAAGGTCAAGACTCTTAACGGCTTTTCAATTACAACTGGATCAGAGTATATTTTCTTAATCGATGTTTTTTAGTTGGAACAAAGAAAGATAAGTATCAAACTACTGGAGTACTTCTACTATTCGAAGTATTACTTAACTTGAGTTCTCAACTCACAGTTCTGCTTTATTTTCAGCGCGAAGTATCTTCGCTTTTATACTTTTTACAATGATATCGAAATACAGGTTTTAAGTTACATTTAGCAGCGAAAGAGAATAAAGCTATTAAATTGAATTTAGTGAGGAAATTACATAAAGTGACTATATTCGAAAAAAGGGATAAAGCTACTAAAGCTAATATTTCGAATAAAGTAGCTAAATCTAATATCGTGACTAAAGTCACTAAAGCGATTAAGTCTAACGAAACAGACCTATCGTACAAATCATATTCTCTAGGTTGAGTAATATTTAACAATAGTATCGGCAATAGAGTAGAATAAAAATAGAACAAAATAGAATAGTGGTATGTATAAAAAAAGAAAGGGGTAATACGAAATGAATAATAAAAAAAAATAAAGTTGTAGGGCCCTCTCACAACGTTTGTCCCTTTCAACTCCAATTCCCAACATATAACAATTTCCAACGCTACATGTTTAGAGATGTGCGAATGCAAATTTTTTTAGCTTGCATCACATAATGCAGCATTATGTCGCATGATGCATTATGTAATCCTGTATGTATAATATAGATATCTCAAAACCTATATGCAGTGAACAGACTTTGTATTATTACTGAGAGGTTATCGGATTCGAAAACACATACTATTAGATTTTATAGTGGAAACAGACCTGGTAGAATGATTTTTTATTGGATTCACAGGCTATTTATATTGATAAGAACAAGTGTCCATAAAGTGATTGTTGATGAAATAACATAGATCAAAAATACATAATAACTTCTATGTGCATTTTTAAATTTTAGGCAGCTTGCATAGCATTATGTAGCATTTAACATCGCTTGCATAATGCATATGGCACATCTCTATACATGTTCCATCAGCATTCCCCAACTCTGCTGATTTTAGAAAATGAATAAATGCCTTACACTCATCCTTTTCAACTCCGACTCCATTTCGATAACAATATCCAACCATATATGTTCCCACGTCATCTCCTAGCTCTGCAGATTTTTGATAATAAATGAATGCCATATGTCCATCCTTCTCAACTCAATTCCATTTTGATAACAATCACCAACTATATATGTTCCTACAACATGCCCCATCTCTGCAGAGTTTTGATAATAAACGAACGCTTCATCCTTTTCAACTCCAATTCCAATCTTATAACAATATCCAGTTACGAATAAACCCATAGCATTCCCCATTTCTGCAGATTTTTGATAATAAATGAATGCCTTGTGTTTATCCTTTTCAACTCCAAATCCGTCATCATAACAAAATCCAACTTGTAATGTTCCCGTAGCATGCCCTATTTCTGCAGATTTTTGATAATGAATGAATGCCTTACGCTCATCCTTTTCAATTCCAATTCCATTCCTATAACAATATCCAACTTGAAATATTCCATCAGCGTCCCCTACCTCTGCAGATTTTTGATAATAATTGAATGCCTTGTATTCATCCTTTTCAACTCCTATTCCATTTTAATAGCAATTTCCAAGGTTGTTCATTGTATTTGAATTCCCCATTTCTGCAGATTTTTGATAATAAATAAATGCTTTATATTTATCCTTTTCAACTCCGATTCCATATTGATAACAACATCCAACATTAAATGTACCACCAGCGTTCCCCATCTCTGCAGAATTTTGATAATAAATGAATGCCTTGTGTTCATCCTTTTCAACTCCTATTCCGTTTTTATAACAGTTTCCAAGTGCGAATATTCCATCTACGTTTCCCATCTCTTCTGATTTTTGATAATAAATGAATGCCTTATGCTCATCCTTTTCAATTCCTACTCCATGTTGATAATTGTATCCAAGGATATAAGGGTCTAATTTAGTTGATGTTTCATGAAGAACTGAATTATTAGTCATTTTACTTTTAGATGAAAAAAAAAACGAAAATCTAAATTTGTATTTAAATGCATATGCACTACTAGCGACACAACATATTGAGTAACATCAAGCGAACTTTAGCTCTAAATTTTAATTTGGATGTGTATCATATATTTTTTATATATCAGACCACAAATTTAATTATGATGTATAATATGTATTTTTTACACAGTGTAAACTTGGAAGTCGGAAACTAATTGTCAGTAAAATTTACTTAATTAATAGGTTTACAATGGGACAGTTGAAAAAACGTCGATGACCGAATCGATAAGTTTTTGATGTCGGCTGACTTTGGCAACTTATTGATTTAAATCTGTAACTTATCGATTCGGTCATTAGAACAACTATGAAACAATTGTAGGATCCAACTTAAAATTATATATATCGTTTCTGCGCCACGTTGTATGTCACTGCATTTTTTGGGATGATTCTGTAATACCGATTTTTGGTCCTGTGACTCACGTGACAATCGTTAATGATCGAAGTCGAATATTGATTCCACATAACCCATATAAGTAGCATCCAAAAGATACACTTATCTTAGTCTCCGGTTGGCCGCAGAAGACCTATTTTCATTACCCTGAAAAATTTGATCAAAATATGTAATATGGTAAATTTAAAGTGAAGCATGGGCGTTATTTTGAGTCAAAAAAAAACAATTTTCAAAAAAATGGGAGTTTCAAATAACGCCCATGTGTGTTATTATGGTACGTAGTCACTGGAATAGCAATCTCTGTGAAAGGATCATTTGTAGTAGAGATTACGCCAATTTACAGTAAATGCTACCCAACCTTAAATACATAAAAATCAGATCCAAAACTAATTTAACCATATGGTCTTGGTGCTGAGAAAAGGGCAGAAATTGACAATTTTTAAAATAAGGTTAGGATTATTCTACATAAAAGTAGGTGTGTTAATAAAATTTTGCAGTATAGCTTCTTAAAATTTGAACTTTCTTATAATTTATTATAAGTTTTACAATATAAAAATTGGATTTTTTGAAGATCTTTTTTTTTTTGTCAATTTCCGCCTTTCTCAGCACTAGAGATGCCAAATGTTTTAAAACGTGATTTTAGAACTGATGATTGTTTTATTTTTAATCGTTTAAAAATGGTTTAAAATGTTTTTTAATCGATCTAAAGAATATAGCACTTAATGCTGAACCCAAAATTTACCGGCCAAAATGCAATAATTTTAACTTCAATTAAATTTTAACATCAGCTTCGATGTTTTAAAACTTTTTTTAAACCAATTAAAAACATATAAAAAATGTTTTAAAACGTTTTTTTACCATCCCTAGGTCTTACTGTATTATAATTTTTATTTGCCCACCTATACTATAAAAGATCCCTCCGGGTGAATTTCGAATTTATTGTATTTTTTTTCTTTATACTGTACCAGGTTTTTTGAAAGCTTTTTGCTTGGTACAGATTTTTTTATGTTTACCATCTTTTGAATTGGTTTTAAATTTGATTCGATGTTTTTTGGCCATTTCTTTTGCAGCGGAAGGTTATACTGTAAAACTTTCAAGAAGGCAAACGCTTATATCAGAATAATATCAATATTTCTATTTATTATGCTGTATAATTAATTCGATAAAAATAATAAATAAGTAATATCTATAGAGTTTTTTACACTGCTCAATAATTTTCAATCAGCTTCATTTTTATTCTCAAGTGATATGCGAATTTTTCTCGTATGGTTTTTTCAACTTCAATTAATGGACAATATGAATTTTGTCGTACCTAAATTGAAAATTGTTGGTCTACATATGTACTTTTATACGATTTTAAAAATGTAATAAACATAAGAGCATTCATTACCTTACCATTCTCGCAAAGCTTTACTTTCAATTGCTACATATTAAGTTTGAATGTGATACATTGTTGTTTTCTAATTTGTAAATTCGGTCCGAAAGACTAATAATTATCCTCAAGTTTTTATAAATTCTTATGGCATTCTCTTGCATTTTACGAACATCGTCCATATCCTGTTCTTGAAGTTTCCATTTTTTGCTTTATTTATACGAGTTAAGCATTCAATACATGTTTTTTTTTATTATTTTCAAATTCATTAATTTATGTATTATTCAATAATATTTTGAATCTTGATTGGGTTAAATATTTGGCTTCCATTAATACCAATTTTTAAATAATATGTCATATGGGTTGTCGCATAACAAAACCAGGCTTAGAGTATATATATTTTATATGTTCTAAAGCATGGTTTTGCTGTGCAACAACTCATATCATAATGACTACGTAACTAATTTTGGCGGTACGTAATAAAAATGCTATTTTCTTACGTATCTTATTTTAAAAAATAAGTGCTTTAATTTTAAAAGAATATACGTTAGATCTTTAAATACAACTTTTTTAATTGCAACTTTTTAAATACATTATCTCTCAAAATGCAGCTTTTAACTCAGATCTTAATACACGTATATATTAGGTTTCTATAAATACAATTTTTTAAAAAATATTTAACTACTAGCTTCAGTATATGTTAAATTTAAAATTTAAACTTTATTATTAAAGATGAGCGAAGCGAAGGACTCACATTTTCAGGTTATATGCAATTTTTGTCTGTCTGTCCATCCATGTGATCAACAATCTACACATACTAGAGGCTTTGGCTAATTTTGTGCCCCATCAGGGTCTAGACTAGAGTGTCCAGGATTATGATCCGGCATAATATCCGCATAATTCACCTTATAGCACATAAAATATGCGATTTTGCATAATTTAAAGAAACTCGCTATTTCCATGTATAAAAAAATTTCTATTGGCCAATTGCTGTTACATGGATTAAGTTATACAGAATGTGTTATCAAGTTGGCCTATATATACTCTAACGCTGGCTAACTCCGAGTAGGATCATATGAATAATGCTAGCTAAACTATCATAGTATTTACACTTTAAAATTAATAAATTTGAATGCAGTAATAATTGTGGCAGATTAAAATCACGTTTTAAAACATTTGCCATCCCTAGTAAGACCTCTCTAAGTGCACCCCCCTCGGAACCATAATAAAAAAAAAGCAAAATGTGCACTTAAAAAGTTTGCATTTATAGAGAACGAAATACATAGTGCTCTTATAAGTTGGGGCTAGAGAATTTACATAGGACGTATGTGGGGTCTTTGCCTTGAAAATCAGGTATGGGACATATGATTTACTATATTCCGTAACTCGATTTTCAAGGCAAAGACCCCATGTGCATTTATGGAGGTTCTTACTGTATATAAAAACTACTTATTTTAATTTAAACTCTAATCCTCATCCTAATCTAACTATATATTCATGCTTAAATTAGTTCAAATAGCTAATTTCCCCACTGCGGAAAAATATTTTATGAAGCGGAGAAAAAAAAACTACATACTGTAAAAGTCTTTTGATACAGTGAAAAGCTAATTAAAATGATATAATAAAGTTAGACTCAAAGCCAGTCTTATATAAAATCCAGTGAATTTTTATTAATGTAACAGATCACTTCATTGTAATGGGAATTTTTGTATTTAGTAACGCATACTTTTGTACGTATTATGAGAGTGAAGCTCGCTCCTGGTATTTATAAGTACAAATTTTGTTGATAATAATGAGATAAAAAAGATTAGTCAATTTACAATATTACAACCACTCGTGAATTTCATTGGTAAAGGACCTATGAGCATAGATACATGACACATATTTGTGGCTTTGCAAATTTTTTGGCACTAAATGGGTAAAGATAAAGTTTTAGTCTGTAGTTGGTCCTCACATGTTATTTAAAATATCAGATGTTCTTCCTAATTAAGAAATCTGCACAGATTTGCCGATCACCTAACCGTCTTTATTACAAATATATAACGGACGATATAATTACTTGCTACACCTTTTTAAAAGACATGGAAAAAAAAAAGTATTTAGTAGCACTTGATGGCTCAGAAAATTCTGACTATGCTCTTTTATGGGCTCTCGAAAATCTAGTGGATCTAAATAATGGCTTATTATTATTATTAAGCGTTGGCGTCCTATCCTGGGGAACATCATTTGAATATTCAGCGGTTACACGTAAGTTTCATGCGTCCGAACCAGTGTTGGTGTTCTCATGAGAAAATTTAATGTTCTCGGAAATTTATTTATGTTCTCAACAGTAAAATTTATTATCCCTGTTTTTTAAAAATCTTATTTCGGAAAATATCGGACATTTATTCAAATTTTTGCCCAACCTTTTTCGTCTTTCATGTTCATTCATTTTCTTTCGGATGATTTTGGAATTTCGCTCGATTTCTAATTTAATTGCCATCTGGTATTATACTATTATATAGAGAACATATTTTTCGAGTATTGTGTTCTCAAATGTTTTTTTCATAGAGAGCATTTACAGAATATCAATGTTCACTAAAGGTATGTTCTCATGAGAACATGAGAACAACAGCGGTCCGAACCATTTAATTTTGAACCATTTGTTATAATAATTAGTCTATGTACGTACATAAATATGAATTTCAGGAAACATCCTTAACGGTGAGAAAAAAAAAATACAAAAACAACAGGTATGTATGTTTTTATATTCGTTCTATATAATTGAATATTAAAATTTACACCGATAATTCATTCGTTTAGGCAGAACAAAAAGCAGAAGATATTGTAAATAATGGCAAAAAATTGATTACTGATTTTCTTGCAATTAAAAAGGCAGAGGTCAGTGTTTGACTAGAAGAATATGCTCATTTTTTATGCTAAATTTATTTCAATTATATACTTTATATACATTTCACCAGCTTCCTTTGGAATTGTACTTTAATTCCAGTACTGATCCGGCAAATTATATCCTTGATTTCATAAGAGAACAACGTATTGACGTTCTTGTTCTGGGAAGTAGAGGAAAGATTTCTCAACATTGTCTTCAATTTGCTTCGTGTACGGTTGTAATCGCTCGAAAAAAAAAAGAATCACACATAAAATAGTAAAATCACGTGCCTAAATTTTATAATCTCGTTTTTTAATGAAGAAAAAAAAATAAATAAATAATGATAATAATTATAAGCAATTTTATTTTTGGGTGTTCGTAAATCAGAGACGAAACGAGAATGTTATCATACTATGATATTAAGGAACTAAATCGTCAAAAACCCTCGGCCACGGCCACGCAATAATTGTTTTTCACGAATCATTTCCAATACAAGAGACATGCCCTTCCGACTCTAATATTTTATAAACTTTATAAACTTTATAAATGTATTATTTTATTAATATTGTTTAGACAAATAAAACAAAGTTTTACCTTTGCAGCACTATCTGCAAATTTTTTTATTCCAAAACCTTCAACTCGTTCTGTTAATCCCCATCCAAAATTACTAATTACTCTGGCTTCGGTTTTAACTTGAGTAAATTCACGATTATTAGGGTCAGCTCGAAAAGTTTGCCACTCTTCAACTTGCATTAAACGCGCATGTGTTATGTTTTTTGTAAGAGTAATCATCGTTTGAGTTTTTGGATTAATTAATGATTCTTCAATAATATATGCTTCAGGTTTCTTAATTAACTACAAACAGATATAATATACAGTAAAAGATATAGTAATATATAGTAATTATGATAATTTCTTATTCTCATATACAAATTATTTTACTCACCCCATTTCCCCATTTTGGCAAAACACCTCGTTTCAATATCAATCTTGTAGTTCTTAATACACCAGTGTCCGGATCAACATACCTATCTATCACGTCAACGCTTTCAACATGTGAAGCGAAAGGGTTAGGATATCGTAACCAAAAAGCTAGAGTTACACTATCCCAGCTATATCTAAAGGAATCCAAATTTGAAGTTAGCCATTACGAATAATCAAAAAATTATTTTGAGAAATTATTTAAGTGCTATAAACACCTAATATGTTATTAAACTTACTCGTATTTAAATGTATGTTGAAAGAACTTGACCATTACAATCTAGAAGTTCTAATTTCTAGAGTATTAAGTGAATGTATTTTTCTAATGTTAGGACAGTTACTTTCGTTCTTTTTAAGATAATTCAAACTAGGTTGTATTATTTAAGTTAATTATAATATGTTCGTTATTTTATTTAAAGAGGTTGGTGAAATTAATTTCACTAATTTCTCCAATTTAACAAATTTAACCCCAATTTTCACTAATAGTGTTTTGAAATCGTTTCACCATTAATTTTATTTCACCAGCATCTTTATCGAATTGATTAATGTACAAAAGTCATGACAAAAGAATATAATAACGTAAATGAGTAGCAACACTATTCATGTACGTACAGATTTTTTTTCGCAAAGAGTAATATTTCTTCGCCTCCATTCTAAATATTAGATCTCATTTTCATCTATCCACTATAAATTACACAAAAGATTGAATGGTCGCGTGGGATAACACAATCGATCAATAAATTATATACGTAATCTGAAAGTAATCTGATTATCAATCGATCTACGGTCATGTATCTTAAATAGGTGTGCTACTGGGATTTTCATTGGTCAATCAATACACAATATGAGCCAATAAGAATTACTACTTCGAGGAAAGTTAACCTGTTTTGGATCGTTTAAAACTATCTTCCCATGGGAGGTGTATTAGTGAAAATCATTAATCAAAATTAGCAGTGTAAACGGCTCTTGGAATGAAATAGTTGACGGCGCAATAATTTGGCGGTTCTGTGATTTTTATCCGATTGTAAGATCAGCGTGTAACATACAAATACGAAGATAACGACATTTTTCCGTCATAACGATAAAAAATTAAAATTATAAAATTTTTATTGCGCAAAAAAATGAAAAGCCATGTTCATTAAGTGAATTTTATTATCTAACATACTAATCAATAGTTTTATTTATTATGCTGTATAATTAGGGAAATTCTATTTTCACCCGGGTTAAAGTCACCCGATATATAATTGCCACTATATTATAAAAACTAAAGATACTATATATTGGTTAGTTAATTGTTAGTATAGACTAATTTTAATGATATTATTATATAATATATATGAAAATTAAATATCAGGTGACTTTAACCCGGGTGAAAATAGAAATACCCGTATAATTAATTTGATAAAAATAATAAATAAGCTATATCTATAAGAGTTTTTTACACTCAACTTCAATTAACAGACACAGGACATGTCCCCCTACAGGGGTTCAAAATGTTGTCACATATAAATCAAATGAGTTGACTCACCCAAATTTATATGTAAAATTTGGTTAAAAAACACTTTTCTTTAATTTACTCAAGAAAGTAAATATAAAAAATAATTTTAGATATGGGACTTATATTTTTTAGCATTTGATAATCCTTTAACAAAAGTTATAGAACTAAATACCAAATAGTTTTAAAAGGATCTTGCTCTAAAGTTGGTATATTTTTTTGTCTTTACAACCCCTGTAAAATTAAAGCAATAATATGATTGGCTAAAGCAATTCTTTGAAAATTAAAAAAGGTTTTATTAAGTAAAGATCTCTTCTGGTTCTAAGAAAACTTGTAAAGGAGGTTTTTAGAATCTCAACAGTAGTGAATATAGGGATCTGCAAAGTTACTGTTATACAAAGAACAATTGTTTAATAGATAATTGTTTTTTGTATAACAGTGACTTCACAGATTCCTATATTTGTGCTTTTAACCCCAAGTATCTTGGGATCCACAAGCTAATTTAGATAATTTAACTACTGTTGAGATCCTAAAAACCTTTTCTACAAGTTTTCTTAGGATCAGAAAAGACTTTTACTTAGTAGAACCTTCTTTAATTTTCAAAGAATTGCTTTAGCCAATTATATTATTGTATTAAATAAGTTAGTCATTTGACTTAAAGAACATAGAGAAGAATTAATTCGTAATTCTTTTGTAAAAGATAGTATTGTTATAATAAAAGTTGGGAGAATCTATTATAAGCTTTATAATAGAGCTGAATCCAGCTCCACCCACAAGGTAAAACATCTTTCTTTCAAGATAGCCTTTCTTGGAGCTTTAATAAAAGTCGTAGAGCTAACTTTTGTAGTTCTAATAGTAGTAAGATCGTTAAAATTGGTCTGGTAGTTGCTGAGATATCTTAATTTTTCTCTTTACAATCATATAAAATTCTTTTAAAAATTTTAAAGAAATTTTATATGACTGTAAAGAGAAAAATTAAGATATCTCAGCAACTACCAGACCAATTTTAACGATCTTACTACCATTAGAACCACAAAAGTCAGCTCTACGACTTTTATTAAAGCTTCAAGAAAGGCTATCTTGAAAGAAAGATGTCTTACCTTGTGGGTGGAGCTGGATTCAGCTCTATTATAAAGCTTATATTAGATTTCCCCCAACTTTTATTATAACAATACTATTCTTTACAAAAGAATCACGAATTAAACAACTTTAGCTTAAGATTTTTTTAAAACTACTTGGTATTTGGTTTTATAATTTTTGTTAAAGAATTATCAAATGGGAAGAATTTAATAGAAAAGAAACAAATTTTTTTCAAATAAAAATTTTCTTGACTTTGAACTTAAATATTTTGGCAATAATCTTATTAAATTTAATAATTTTTTTTATTTTACTTCTATATAATTTCAAAATTAAAATAAAAAAATTTTTAGCAAATTTGATTAAATAGTTGTTAAGATATTTTAATTTAAAATTAAAAAAAATTTACTAAAAATAATTTGTTCTTTTTCTATTAACTCATCTCCAAATACTAAAAAATATAAATCTTATCTTTTAATTGGTAAAAATTTGCAGGCAAATTTGCCTACATAATTATTATAAATATGTCCCTAATCTACTTTTTTAATTATTTAAAATATTTAAATAAAATTTAATATAATAATATTTGAAAATAAGGATTATATTTTTGCAATACTTGTATTTGTATTGTTATAAAATGTGTTAAATGTCTAGGAACATACAAGATATTTTAGCCCCAGTAGATCTGGAAGGTTCTGATAATCAAAACGAGCTACAATACATGATAAATGGATAAATAGGTGACTGGCAATTGATAAACAAAGATAAGCCAAGAATTGATAGACGATAAGCTAGAATGGATTTACAATATTTGTAAATCCATACTTTTAATATATTTCTTTATGTTTTTTAATGTTTCTTATTGTTTCTTATTGTTTTTTAATATTTCTTTATGTTTTTTAATATTTCTTATTATTTCTTATTTTTATTTTTATTTTTTTTCTTTTTGATAACCGTGTATTAAAATTTTATTAAATGTATAATGCTTAATACAAGACCAAGCTACTTAATAGGGAATTAGACTAAAAGCCAACTGTCTTTTAAAGATGCTTAACCTTGGTTATCGCACTGATGTTAGCCACTATACCCCACATATAGTGTACCATATTTAAAGATATAATATAGCTGAGGCTCAGCTCCCACCTCAGGACCTCTTTTCTCTTCTAATTCTTCCTTCTTCTCAAAGGGCACGAGACAAAAGGAGGAAAAGTTTAAATCAAAAAACAAATACAAAAATGACCAAAAAGAAAAACAAACAAACAAAAAGAAAAAATAAACACAGATTTTGAAAAAGAAAAAACATGAAAACCCTAAAGGCACTATTATAACCCATACAAAGTTGGTAAAAATTATATAACAAATGCAATATTTGTATATCTTTTTTGTAAAGGTAAAGCTCTATCTTGGCATTAAAATTTTCTTTCTGATCTTCCCACCGAATTCGGATGGCTCCGTTGTCCGAGGCCTTATATCAAGGCTTCCTTTCGCCATAATTAGAGTTCCTAGGCCAAGTCCTACACCTCAATATTAAAAAAAAATAATAATTATATCATTATTAAAATTAAAATTTATTTACTATATAAGCCATGATACATATTTAGCCCAACTTCTAAATACAAATAATAGCAACAAAAAATAGCAACTAAATACAATGCACTAATACAATACCATGTTGTATTAGTGCTCAGAAAAGAAAAAAATTCCCAAAATCTTTCCAAAAATGAAAATCGATTAAACCACAACAAAATTTCACCAAAGTTCCTTCTATTTATACTTAAGAAAAGTACTAAAAGCCCAAAGATCAAAGTTATCTCAGCAATAAAACCCACTAATGATGATAACACTAAAGTAGTGAAAGCATACCCAAAGGCTCTAAAGATAACAACAACGATAACACCAAGCGACTTACCTAATGAAAAAAAAAAAACTACTAGAAGTAGATTTAATTACCAACAAGAACATCAAGAGCCTAAAATCTCTTAAACAAAGTTAACAAAACAGCAAAAGAAGAACACTGCCACTTCACTATAAGAATGCCATCACTTTACCGCAAGAATGCTATCACTTCACCGCAAGAATGCTGTCACTTTACTGCAAGAACACCATCACTTCACCGCAAGAACGCCATCACTTCACCGCAAGAACGTCATCATTTCACCACAAAAGCAGCATCGCTTTACCACAAGTATGACATCACTTCACCGCAAGAATAATATCGAAATACCGAAAAACACCACACAAGAAAACACCAAAAAATGTATTAGTGTCAGTTGTAATAACAACAAAAAAAAGAAAAAACATATTGAAAAAAAAATACTTATCTTTATGTAGATTTGTGCAATCGCCAATAATAATTCACCATTCTCAAGAACGAATGTACTTCTGTAAGGTAGATGGGAAATCTCCACTCCACAATTCGTCTAATCCACTTGGAGTCTTCTAAAATTTCTTGTAAATGAGATAAAGTATCAAAGAAAAAAATAAATAAATAAATAAATTAAATAAATAAAGTATGAAAAAAAAACAATAACAGATAAATATAAAAAATAAAATAAAAACAAAATAAATACTGTACAAAAAGAAAATAAAATAAATATAAGAAAAAAAAAATTCAATGAAAAAAATATAGATTAGATCTGATCAAAAATAAACTAGATCCAATACATTATGTAATACAAGATCACAGGAAAGCTAAAAAATTAGCTAGAAAAAATTTTCGACCGGTAATTTTTTCAGCATAATATATTCAATAAAAATTCAGTGGCTAATATAAATAAAAAATATAATATTTTCAAACCACATTCACTAGAAAAAAGTTTAGAAGGCCAGGTCTTCTATAAGTCGGGTTCTTGTACATTTTTAAAGATATGGTTGTATTGAAAAACTTCCATCGCTTTCAGGAAAACTATATTTTTTAAACATGAATGATATAAATTATCTTCAAGTTTTAATGAAAGAAAAACTTTGGTTGGGACGTACATTAGTCTTACAACAATTTGGACCAACTTGAATATACGTATAAAAAGGTAATATTTCATATATTTATATATATAATTTTATTTTGTTAATAATATCCAATTCGGAATTTTCTTCACTATTAATTTCTGAATCAGTTACATTTATTTCAGACAAGTCAAGTAACTCAAAAGTATTTGTCGTGGACAATAAAGATTCTTTAATCGTTAGATCTACTGTTTCGCTTTGATTGTGTTGATCATAATTTTTACTGCATTTTCAACAAATATTAACATCTATTTTTTTTTTTTTTTTTTTACAGAAATTCGATTTTTAAATTAATTGTAATAGCTGTAATACAAAATCATATGACAATAAAATAAGGTTGGCTAAATTGGTTAAAAAATTTTTATTGAATCTAGGTTAGAGAACTGTAAATTGCAGCTCATTCTGGCTTTACAGCTGTTTTATAAATTTTTGGTTCATAAACTCTGAGATAGCTGAAAAATTGTTGTTAATCGAATCGATAAGTTACCTAGTCAGAATGAGTCAACATCGGTCGATATTAAAAACTTACTGATTCAGTCGTCAATTTTTTAAATGTTCTAGAATTTATTAAAACAGCTATATACTTTTAAATTTCGATCTTGCCAAATCAAAAATTTATTGAATTTGATTAAAATAATTGTTGGTTAATTAAGTCTTGATCTTTTGAATTTTTGAATTTTTAGTCCAATCGACGAATTCTTGATCGTATTTAACTTTTTTAATATTAGCACCTATTTATATAATATATTTATTATAAAAGCTAATTTGATATCCAGAGCCTTTTTCATAAACTTTTATACAAGTTAAACATGCTAAACATATTAGGCAAGCGTTCAAATAAAATTTTAATAATGTATAATAAAATTATTTGTACTATGGTAATTTTTGAAATTGGACCAAAAATGTAATTTAGACGTAGATATTACAATAAATAAAAATTAAATGAATTTAAAAATATATTTAATTTATAATGTAGATATTATATTAATATTACAGTATATAAATTAAAATTGAACAAATTCAAAAATATATTTTTTATATACCAGTCATGCCGAAAAATTACCAGCTGAAAATTTTTTTTGGCTTATTTTTATAGATGTCATAATGGGATTATATTTATTGTATTGTATCGGAAATCTGATATTAATTGATTTATAACAAAAGTAAGATATTTGATATATATCGATATTTAACAAATATCGCTAAATATCGATATAATTAAATAATGCAACTATCGATATATATCTATTACACAATTACTATCGATATAAATAAAATTGATATATATCGATGATTAGATATTTATCGATATATACCTATTACCGGTATATATCGTTATATATCCTAAATTATCGATATATGCCATTTTTTTCTTATCGATATATATTGATTTTTTGCTATATATTGATATGTATCTATATAAAAAATTTTTTGATGTAGTCCGTCCAAATTTGAGAAGTAAACAATGCTGATCTTTTGGAGGGGGTAAGCCAAATCACCACTTTTTGTCGAAAAATTTTGGAAAAAAGGCAGGGAAGTGGAAAAAGGATAGTAGGTACCACTTGGTCAATAAAAAGGAGTGCGGCTTGAAAGAAGCCTGTTCTTTACTATTCCCCAGTTGTTTTGTAACCGATAGCTTTGTCGACAGTAGGCTTGAACTTCTATTACCTCTACCTATCCACTAAAATTTCATATACGAGGGCACTATCTTTTGCCAGTTATCTTGTATACAGATGCTTTTAGCTTGTATGTTGAATATATAAAGGAGTCCCCGAGATAGCAAAAAGGTTAACCTTTATAAAAACCACCCTGTTGATTCACCTCACTACAGGTTACTACTCTCCAGTATCGAAAATAGGCTTTTCTTTTCATCAGAAAATTTGGTCCAAGTAATTGTCAAAAAGAGTTAATTTGTATATATAATAAAGTTATGGTTATCATTTCTTATTGTTTCTTTATGTTTCTTAATACTTCTTATTGTTTCTTATTATTTATTATTATTTTTATTGTTTTTTATATTTTATTATTATTTGATATGTGTTATAAAAGCTATATAAATCCTAGCTTTTTCCTTTTCTAGTACTTTAGGATTTGTTCTTTACAATCTTTAAGTTAAAAGAATTCTTAGATATAAAAACCTTAGGATAGCCTTATATCTTGATATTGTACTGTAAATAAATATATCTTAATAAACATATATTTTACTTTTGTATAAACTATACCAAATCACCTTAGTGAAGTAATATTTCACTTCCATACCACTTTATATCTATTCTGACCCTGTGTGCTGTATTGCAAGTGCTATATTTTAAAGAAGGCTATAGTTCACTTGTAACATTTTGGTGCCTCCTAGCAGAAAGCTAAAAAGTCTCTACTAGATATCAAAACATCTCTCCTCTCTCCTTCCTCTCTACGAATTCTTTATTTACAGATGCCTATTACTAAAGGAGTAATAGTATACTTGGAAGTTCTGTTAAATTAAAAAAAATTTAACAGAAGGGTACACTTGAAGCCTTTGCTTTCATAGCAACCAAAAAGTTTTATTAAATTGAAAGAGATTTAATAGAAGGGCTACTTGAAGCCTCTGCTTTTGTAGCAACCAGAGCTTATAGCTTACTGCAATCCCGAGGTTAGATCCCATTGGATGGGTATCTCATGAGCCAAAAATGTAGGCATAAGAACTCATAGCTCACAGCTTACTATAAACCTTAACCAAGAGTGTTAAACACGAATTACTCATGAGCCAAAGTATAGACATAAGTAATTCCAAATTGGTTTGAATTTATTTTTTTTTATTTTTTTTCTTTCTCTTTATGCACTGAGCATACCAAATTCATTTGCAACAAATTGAAGCCCATGAGATACAATATCCTTCATCTCTTGCAGTATCAGTTATACAAACTTCATATTCAGATTTGTCTTGTAAAGTGTGTTATCCTGCTGTAACTTATTATCATCAATATTATCAATTTTGGCCTATATATTGAGACTAGTATAAAGTTACTAGATATACTCAACAAACTGTTAACACATATTTTAAACTAATTACTGCTAGAAAATATAACATTGCTAGAGCAGCTGCTAGAGATATTGTTTTTAGCTGCCAATATAGTAATCCATATTTAGATTCTAAAGCAGTTATTGCTATCCTCCTTGAATCTTATTCAATCTTTACCCTTCAACCAATCCTACCTACTGACTTTGAAGCAACTGCACTTAACTTATATATTGAAACCTCTATTATTGCATCATCCTTCCGGAATCCTTCAACTACTACCTACATCTTTGAAAACTTCTCTTCTATTCCTGTTAACCAAGAGAATATTAACTTTGTCACTTCTCCTATATAATTCATATTGTTACAATGCTATAGCCTTCTATCAACAATATAGCAAAGTAACAAGGTTATTTACTGTAGAGAAACCTATGTTAGGAATATACAGGGAGTAGAGTAAAGTATTCACTATACTTTATAGCAGTAGGCAAACGGTTTGGGATAGTAATGGTATATTATATAACTTTATTTAAACACAGATGCTACAGTGATAATCTTGCCTATAGGATTTACCCTAGAGGTGGAATATCACACTATACAAATATAAAAAAGGTAGGGTAGTATAAAGCTAGATTCTATGAGAGGGTAGGAAAACTCTCTAACTTGAGCAGAAGGGGCAAAGACTCCCTTTTTATAACTTTTCTATACATAAGAGGTGTAATAGCTAAACCGTATAAAAGGTATAAAAAGTACAAAAGATATAAAAGATATAAAAGGTACAAAAGGTATAAAAGATATAAAAGATACAAAAGGTATAAAAGATATAAAAGATACAAAAGGTATAAAACGTATAAAAGATATAAAAGGTATAAAAGATATAAAAGGTACAAAAGGTATAAAAGGTATAAAAGGTACAAAAGGTATAAAAGATATAAAAGGTATAAAAAGTATAAAAGGTACAAAAAGTACAAAAGATATTATCTAGCTAACCAATAGTTTGTTTGTCTTGTATTATAGCTTGTTTTGATCATTATAATCTTCTGGATCTAATGGAAATCAAATCTCTAATATATTCTATAATATTAACACGTTCTATAACAATATATACTCTTGGACCTGACAACCTAAAAAATCCTCAATCCAACTTTCCTCATCTAGCTCTATACAATGAAGATACTACTCATATTGAATTTCCTCCTCAAAATTGCTTTATCTTCTTCTCCGCTTACAGAAATCCCATTAGATAATCCTTCACTCAGATGACAGCCTAGCCCAACTCCTTCTACCTCTCAACAACCTGGTGTAATCCGATGAATACTTGGTTGTATAAGTTCTTATAATAATTCTTCTAATCCAGTTCAACCCTCTGTTGTACCTAAAACCTATTCTGAAGCAAATATAGCTATTAATATTCAACCAACCACTCTATTAAATACTTTACCTCCTTCTGTTGTAAATCCTCCTTCACCAAAATCAGTTGCTCTTTTAACAACAGAAGCTCCTCATCAAGAAATTAACTGGAACAAACATTTTGATTTATATCTCCTACCTAAAGATAACTAACAGTCTGACGCCAAATCTGAAGCTACTATTGACCCAGAATCTGAATCTGAATCCAAGCTTGAAATAATTAATAACCAGAAACCAAACCAAGAACCAGAACAAATTAATAACCCACAGCTAATACAACCTAACAAAATAGCCAACGCCACTTTTATTGCTACTGCTGAAGCTCTAAATAACCTAGTTAACAATCTAGAACATGGTGGTAAAAAATCTCTTATTAAAATAGACTTTTATCGAGGTGATGGAACCCAAGACCCCATAACTTGGATAGACGAATCCACTGGACTGCTGCCCAACAACTAAAGTTAGCTTTGCCTATATAAAGAACAATACCTAAGAATGGTTTACTAGTCTAGAGAATGCTCCAAATTATTTTCATCATAAACAACATAATCAAAGAGCAAATAATGTTGATATTATAAGTTTTACTCATTTATTTAAAGAAAAAATTCAGTACTACTAAACAGAAAGCCACTTGGCAAAAACAACTCTTTGAAATTAAACAAGAAACAGATATAGTTGATACCTATGTTAGCCATTTTAAACAACTTAGAACCAGAGTTGATCCAGAAAATAACTACCCTGTCTCCCTTCTCATCCAATTCTTTATTTAAGGACTTCGACCAGAATATTCAAGTATCTGAACCTACTAACTTGGATGATATCATAATTGAAGCCAAAAAATGAGAAACAGGAAAGGTTATGACCTCAAATTATAATGCTAACAATGATACTAACCAAGCTATTAAATGTTTAACTGAGCAAATAGCTAAATTAAGTGTCAACCTTGCTGAAAAACAAACTGCACCTCCATCTTCTTCTACTTCTGTTTATTATTCAGAAAAAGATAAAAATTCTTCTCAACAAAGTAATAATAGTATAGTGTGGTAATAAAGAACATTTTATTAGAGATTGCTATATTAGAAAAGATGATAAAAGAAGAAACTCCCATGATTATTCTTATGACCGAAGCAGTAACTACTCTTTTAAGAATAATCGATCCTATACTCCTGTAATAGAAATAGATTCAGAGACTGAAACTCTAATCGTTCTAGATATGACTGTTCTAGAAATCGAAGCCAATCTAGAAATAAATCTAGGAATAATAGGGACTATCAATCTAATAACCGATTTAGAAGCTACTTTTCTACTCCTTATTCTCGTAATGCATACATTGTAGACACCACAAATGACTATACTTTCGAACAGTTTGAAACTTTTCTAGTTAATGAATCTATTTAAGAAGTATTAGCTGAATATTTAGCTGAGGAAGCTAAAACCAAGACACAGACTTCCTCTTATACCACTCCTGTAAAATATAATATTAAACTTAAAAGAAAACTTTACCAAGCCGTAATAGATAGTGGTGCTACTATCAGTATGATTTCTCACCAAGTTGTTAAAGAATTAGGACTAAAAATAGGAGTCTCCTCTACTAGTCTTATCCTATTTGCCACAGGATCCTCTACTCAACCCTTAGAAATTATTAAAAACCTCACTGTAGAAATCGAAGGTGTAACTATTCCTCTTGACGTAGAAATAATAAACGTTGCCTCCTACTCATTACTCTTAGGTAATGATTGGTTACAAAAAGTTGAAGCCAGCTACAACTAGAAAAATAAAGCTTATACCCTCAAGTAGAACAAGAAAAAGACCCATGTTCCAACCACTTATAAACACAACTAACCTCTATCTGCTCAAATTACTATGACTAATGAAAAAGAATTGCAACAATTTGAACAAGAATATCTAAGTCCTCGAAAAGCTTTTATAATTAAAGCAAACCAACCTGTTGCCTCTATCTCTAGATTCAGACCCTACTTCAATACCAACCAAGGATATAGGAATTGCTTCTCTACTACTCATCTATTTGCTAACTGTCCAAATAATCAATACTTTAGATGCAATAGATATGGTCACCTTGTAGTATATTGTTTTAGACAAGCTTCTAAATGATCTACATATAGAACCTGTTCTCAACTAGACACTTCTACAAGGACTGTCTAGAAAATTAATGCTACCGATATAACCAATACGGTTACATTGGAATAAATTGTCTTCAAAATATCTCCATCTTGGAAAACCAAAGATATGTATATAAATGCTCCTCTAGTGAAGTTGAAAGCCATTAACTATACCATTACTCTCCTCGCCGAGTCAACTATTATTGTAAATATAAAGTATCCCAGAAGCCTAAAGACCTTAAAATGTATTTGTTTACAAAGGGTCATAAGTTCATTATAATCCTTTTTGTTATTACTACATGCAAAATTCTATTTTTGCTTATACTTTTCTTTATTTACTGTATAGTTTTATTTTTTAAAACAACCATGTGCAAAAATTTCAATTTGGTATTATTTGGCAATGCTTGATATTGTAATATAGTAGACTTTGGTGGCAGTAAACTATATTACTTGACTTAGTGTCAAGAGGGTATAAAATGTGAATAATATGAAATAAACACTAAAAGAAACTAAAGATAAAACTAAAAGAGCTAAAAGTGAAAAATATATCAAGTATGTAAATAAACTAATAGAAATAACTAAAGAAAAATATAAAGAAACTAAAAATAAAAAGACAATAAAAAGACAATAATTCCACTATAAAAGAAACAGAATATAAAATGTATATAAAGTAAGTATTTTACAAAATAATATCAGTTTATTAGATAAAAGAAAAAAGTACAGAAAACTAAGTCTATCCAAGCCTTAGGTAAAAAGGCCGGATTTATATATCTTTTACAGTCTTAAATAATTACTAATTATAGTTCATGTTATTGTACTATTGTGTCAAAGAGACTTATCAAAGAGACTTGTCAAAGAGACTTATTAAAGAGGTTTGTCAAAAAGACTTGTCAAAGATACTAGCTAATGAGACTAATCAAAAAGACTAACCAATAAGACTAGCCAAAGAGACTAGCCAAAAGAACTAGCCAACAAGACTTACTGTAAAAATCGGACCCAGGTACTCTTCATGCCGTGTACCCTCCGCCAGTTTCAAGAGCTAGACGGTGATTTATACCCAGGTACATATGTATTATATACACTATATATATCATGGCAGGTAGATATAGTAAAACATATTGACTCTATACAGTGTACCCCCCATATAGAAGTACCCCGGGTACAAATTTAAATTATGAAAATACCCAGGGTACCTGGGTCCGATTTTTACGGTAATTACTCATTAACTATTAGTTAAAATAAAAAACTATACTAATAAAACTAATACTAAAGATTCTATTGGTTAAATAATATTTGTATTACATTTAGTAATTACATATAGATAAGTAATAGAAATTTAAAGTACTAATATAATATTAATATAACACTACTCTCTCCTTCAAAAATTTTGCTTCGCAAAATTAAAGAAATTAGTAAGTAGTTACAAATAAGAAAAATAACTAAATAAATATAATAATGATAAAATAAATAGTACTAATAGTAATAATATTTTTGATTTTCTTTCTGACAATCACTAAAACCAAAATTCCTATTAACAGAAAAACATAATTTTTGCTAGAGAGTCGAGGCCTATGAAGTGGTTTGTCTAGAGGTCAACAGTTTTGCTTACAGGACTTTTCTAAAGAGATATTCGGCATGCAAGCCAAAAGTGTTCTTATACAAGATAACTGGCAGAAGGTGCCCTTGTATAGAAAATTTTGGTAAAGAGTGGGTAAAGCCCAACTTTGTCGACAAAGCTTCTAGGTTATTACTTCAAAAAAGAATACAGGGGAAACAACAAGAAATATGTTTTTCTTAAGCCGCTCTCTTTTATTTGATTAAGTGGTTTCTCTTTTACTCTTTATTGTCTTCTTGTCGGTCTTTTAAAAAATTTTGATAAAATGTGGGGATTTGGTTTACCCCCTTCAAAAGATCGGTATTGTTTACTTCCCAAATTTGAATAGACTAGCAAAATGCAACCACGTATTTGTTTATAGACAGATATGGTGCTACTTCACGGCCTGAGAACTCTAATTACGGCAGTAGGTGGCTTGAGATATGGGTCCTTCTTGGGTTAGGGTAAGTGTAACCTTCAGACAATGGAGCACCTGGCTTGAAATACAAATTAGAACAGGCAACAAAGTAATTCAGAGTTGGTGGGATGATCAGAAAGTAACTTTAATGCTAAGGTGAAGTCTTACAGAAGAGATATACAAACATTGTATTTGTTATACAATTTTTACCAGCCTTGTACGGGTTATAATAGTGCCTTTAGGATCTTAGATTTCTTTTTATGTTTTTTCTTTTTTGCAATCTGTTTTTCTTTTTTCGTACTTTATTAGTTTTTTCTTTTTTTGGTCGTTTTCGTAGTTTCTTTGTTTAAACTTTTTTCCCTTTTGTCTCGTGCCTCTTGAGAAGAAGGAAGAATTTGAAGGGAAAGTAAGGTCTTGACATGTTGGAAGCTAAGCTCAAGCTATACTAAATCTTTAAATATAGCCACCATATGTGGGGTATAGTGGCAATCATCAGTACGATAACCAAAGTTGGGCATCTTTAAGAGACAGCCAGCTTTTAGTCTAATCAAACATTAAGTATTTTAATCTTGTATT